GCAAGCTGATTTACCTAATCTTGAGGTGAGAAAAGCTCATGCAATGACACTCAGATGCTTTCATTATTGAAGAATTTCCATCTTTCAGATGTGGGCTATCACTAAAACCTGTCTCTTGCCTCAGTTTGATCTTGGCTGGCCTACATGATGATATGGCACACCTGGAACTGAATACCAAAGGGCATCCTACTGCATTTAACATAATAGGCCTGAGATATCAAAAGAAGTGGAAGGTGCTTCAGATGTTGTCATTTCCAGGCTCTCAAAGTGGAATTCAGAGTGTCCCATTTCGATCTGGCAACACAAGAGGAGACCACAACTCAAAGGGGGAGAATGTTTGAGAGTTTATCTTCTTCACACAGGAAAGGCCTAAGGGAGTCTGAGTTAAAAGGAAGTGGTAGTGACTTTCCCAGTTGACAGAATCTTGCTTTACAGCTGCAATGAGATAACATCATCTGCCATACCAGAGAGCATCAAGCTAGCTTAAAGGCTGACAGAGCAAATGAAGCTGTATACTCCAACACCTCGCTGCTGGCTGCTCCCACCTGCCCTGGCATCTGCTACCTGAGGTAGCTGCCTCTCCCTACCTAGTGGTAGGACTGGTCTGTTGCTAAAAAAAAAATCCCACAGACCTGCTACAAGAACACTATGGTGTGTGGACATTTGTTCTGCTCATGTAGTAGATATTTCAAGTCTTCCCATCATGCTGAGAAGACTCCCATTTGGGCTAATGTCCCCAGCTTTTTAGGGCTGGCTTATGTCTGATTGTCCTCTATATGTCCTCAGCTTGAAATAGATCCACTTGAGAGATTTAAAAAAAAAATAAGAAGGGAGAATAAGGGACTTGTAATTGTCCATCAGCGGTCACCACCTGGATGACCCATTGCAAAGGTGCACAGATCACCTGTACACACTCTCCATGACTATTGTTAGTGATCTTGTGTCGGTTGTTAAAACCAGAATAACTATCTCTGAATTTGCTTTTATACATATGAAGTCACATATTTCAATTTTAAGTAGATCTCTACCCTCTTTTTGTGATGCGAAGATTTATATCCTCTCCACATAGGTATTGAATTTGCTTTGATTTGGAATCTTGCATTGAGCAGGGGGTTGGACTCAATGGCCTTATAGGCCCTTTCCAACTCAATTATTCTGTGATTATCTCTCTCCCCCTCTTTCTCCCTGTATATATATATATTTGAGTCAGCATTCACTATGAAAATTCCTTTAGAAGCAACCACAGAGGTTCCTTTAGAAGCAGTCACAGAAGACATGTGTCGTTTGATGTGACTGACAGAAGTAGTGGGTGGCTGATGTGGTTAGGGGCCCCAGGCAGAATCCCGGCAGCCATGACAACCTCAGGCAGCCACATGGCTTATGATCACTGCCCACTGCTGCCCTGCTTGTGCCCGGTGTATAGAGGCAAATTCATTCACCATCACCATGTAGAATGTCTGAAAATGATTTTTGAATCAGTGTGCCATGTTCACAACACAAACTGTGACTCAGGAGCTCTTGCCCTGGACTTACTGTTAGCATTTAACGCTGGGCACTCAGCAATAATTTAATACATTTCTGTCCTCCTTGGCAAGGTGCGAATGCATGGTTTGGACCTAGGAAAATAACTTGTTCAATATTTTTGTTCTTCTTCCCGCCTATCATCTGCTATTTTTGTGCATCAGGCCAGTTCTCTGGCTTTTTTTCCTCACTTTTTCCTTTTAATATCCATATTGAAACTTCAACCATTTTAGACAGGGGAAAAGGAAGAAAGAGAAAGATACAAAGGTGGCCTTAGTGTTCATCTTTTGCTAGCCACTTCTGCTCAGCCTCAGCTGCTATTCCAGAAGACTTTGTTTCCTTACTTGCTTCCTATAATCTTTTCGGGAGATGGCATCCTTTGAACAGTAATTTATCCTTATTTCATAGTTATTGTGCAAGGCACCCTCTTTGAGACCAGGATGAGGCTGGGAGTCTCTGCTAAGGGAAGCCTACTGACTTCTCTGGTGTTTTCTTGGCCATGTCACAAAGACCTTTATTTATTGCTCCAGGAATCATTTGGCCTTGGGTTTTTCACTTTCCTGAAACTGCTTCTTTTTCTAGAAATGTGTCTCATTAATAGCTTGTTCTTGATGCTATGCTTTTCTCAAGCCTTTCGGCCATATAAGCAGCCAGACTAAAGAGCAGTTGGTACCCTCCACATTCACTTTGCAACAGGTAGTGATCTAGGAGATGCCGCAGACAGATTTTTAAAAGCATCGTGCTGCTTCCAACTAATCCAGCAAATTATACATTTTTTAAATATTATATAGTAGAAATTTTGCCAGTGCTACATTTCATATGCTGGGTTGCCCTATATCTGGTTGTTACATAATGTTGCCTGAGAAACTGCCTTGTTGTTTATCTCTTGCAAGTGCTGTGTGGGCTTATTTGGCTGAATTGTACAATAGCAGCTTCCTGGTGCTTAAGCCACTCTCTCTCTCTCTCTCTCTCTCTCTCTCTCTCTCTCTCTCTCTCTCTCATACACACACACACACTCACATACCACTCTTTACTCAGATCCTGTGTTATGTAAGCAATTAATCAATCACACACAAAATGCCTGTATGTGCCTTCCTATCAGTCAAGGTGATCGGAGAGCTGAATTCCCAGGTGGGATAAATAAATCCTCCTCATGCCAGTACAGACAAAAAAGTCAAAGCAATTTACACCAGCTAAAGATGTATCTTGTGTTTCTATATTAAGCAGTTGTCTCCTATTTTTAATAAGGTCTCTCAGTGCATTTGTTGCTTTTGCAACCTTCTGTTCTCCTCTAAGTAGTTTCTTGGGTCACAGTTTTAAGCTGAACCAACTCTTTCAGGATTTGTATGTCCTTTGCTACACTTTGTACCAGTCTGATGTAGTCAAGCCCCCCCCCCATGTTCTGCACAGTGCAGTGGAAAAGCAGGGCAGGCAATGTACAGAAGTACAAGCAGATGCAGAATAAATACCAGATTTCAAAATGAATACTGAATTACAGTGTGGATATTCAACATTTTGGAAGCTGAAACCGTCTATCAGTGTTTTGTTCCCTTCTAATTAGTACCACAATTCATGTTTTGACACTACTTATATAAGATCGATTCAGAGCCACAATATCTGAATTAATCTTGAAACCTTCAGAACTCTTCATCAAGAAAGATGGCAGCAAAGCAAAGAGGCGGAGGGAAAACGAACATGGTGGAAGGGATGTCTGCATTTAGATACAACCCATGGATAGGACTGGAGAGGCTGTTGTGGATTTCTACTGGACGCTCTGAGGATTTTTCACAGTGTTGATTGCAATGAAAAAACAAAGAATCATCCCTCCATTTTTTTAAAAAATGACATTCAGCTGTTTCTCAGAACTATTTATGTTTCTCATCTTAACTGAGGAACTCAGAGGCTTCCATAATATTTTGTGAGCTTGAGTCAACCTATAAAGGTAGTGCCTTGATATGGATTTTATTTAGAATATTTCTTAGGACCAACATAGCTACCTTTTGCTGCTGTCATTGCTTTTTTGTTTAGTAAGTGTGTCATTTAAGTGGTAATGTATTTGTTCTTTTCCTTCTTTTTTCCTTTTAATCTACTTTGAGCTTTCTAACAGAAACATAAAACATACAATATTTCTGCCTCTGATACATTTGAATTCCTTCTGTGGAGCAGCTGCTGGGCAGGAAGAAGAGCTGAACAAGATGGATGACCTGGCTTTCCGGCACCTGTTTTCTTATGGATTAAAATAAGAGGAGTAAGACCTGCAGTAGAATGTGTCTTCCTGCAGTAGAGAATAAGCAAAAGATAGACATGGGTAGTTTCATGTTCATGTTTTATTTAATTTTTTTTAAAAAATCATATTCATGAAAAGCAAGATCAGACTTAGAAAGTGTGAATCCTTTGCAGAATCTAAAACCTAAATTTGTCTAGGATCTAATAAACCGCTACAAGGAATTAGACCTCTGTGAGGTTAGTTAAAATTTGCTATCCCTGTTTGACAGACAGGCATTAAATACTCTGTAGAAATTTCCCAGGAAAACATGCTCTGAATAAACATTAACCAAAATGCTTAGAAGTGAATGGAATAGATCCCAATCCTGCCACACTTAGATCCTTAAAACAACAATTTTAAAATTTCAAAAATGCGAACTGGTTAACACAATATGCAGCCCAATACAAACAGGCAAAAGGAAAAAAATATATATAACCAAAACCCACCCAATACTTTTGTAGACCAAGGGCATGATCTACCACAATGTGTGTGTGTTCCCCCCCCCCTGCCCTTGTTGAAATGAACTGATCCTGTTCAAGAGCACTTAGTGTTCTTGTGTAGCTTCTGTGCACTGCAACAGACCTCAGGCAGGAGAACCACATTCAATGCATTTCATTATGTACACTGAAGCTGCATATAGTTCAGTGCAAACGCAAATAACTCAGTATAAGAACTATAGTCAAAATGCCTTCCAGCAGACACATTCTGGGTTGGAAAGCCACTTTCTTTTAAATCAGTCTTTCCCAACCTGGGTCATTTCAGATGTTCTTGGACTACAAACCCTATCATCCTCAGCCAGCGGTCATGTTTGTTAGGACTGATGGAGTATACAGTCTAAAACATCTGGAGGGACCTAGATTGTGGAAGGCTGTTTTAAGTCAACGGGGCTCTCTTCATCTTCTTGTCACTGTTGGAACAAAGATTTGTCCCATGGGGACTTGTATCAAGTTTTCTTGGGCCTGCCCCAGCATCATGGCTGATTTTAAAAGACGTGAAGAAGTGCTAAAGGTCATGAGACCTATTTAGTGCAAAATCTTGCCCCATCTTTTCTGGCACTGCCAATAAACTGGATGTCATTTCTTACAAGGCCTCTGAATGTTAGACAGCAATGTATAACTCTGGAATGAATAAGATTCAATGATCCGGAATATGCAATGGGTGTGCTCTCTGAGAGTGTGTGTCTTTACAGCCCAGGGGCTGCAGCAAGACCGGGGCTAGTGGAAAGTAGAAAGACAAACTGCTGCTGCTTGAGCTCCCTGTAGCTGTAAGTTATGCATCCATCAGAAAAAGTTGAATCTTCTAGAAAACTAGCAGAAAAAAATCCCAGGGCAGTTATTATTGTATGAAATATTCTTAATGGGCACATATGTACAGTTCATTGAAATATAAATAGCAGTAGTAGACAACAGTGCTCCAGAACATCTAGTGTGGCTGATCACCCTCACAAGACCAATCAACCGGGCTGGAAATTTCAAATGAAATTCCCAAGTCCCTACAAACCCCTACATTGAACCCATGCTTCCATATCAGAGCACAAAGTTATAGGTTTTGGGGGCCAAGTTGGCTAACTCCCAAGAAAGCTGAATTTGGAAGACAGTCTTTACAAACCAGCCTCAGCACTGGGCATTGACCCATCCCAATTAACACTGCTCCCTGTTTTCTCTTTCATTTTGTATCTGAGTCAACAACAGAGCCAGCTCGAAGTGAAAAAGATGCACTTATGACTTTGTCTGTGTTTTGATGTACTTCAGTTCCATGTTCTCCTCTGGGTCCCCAGCTATCCCATGCCCACCATGCCCTCAACACTAGATCAAGCCTCCCTTTTAAACACATTTTGACAGTTTTAATACCCCACATGCCAGACTCACGGCTCATTCCATACACAGCCTGTCCAAAATGGAGTCCAAATATCACCTCCCAGTCCAAGGCAGAGCATATCAAGCCACATGCTTCTCAGTCCCAGACTAAAACTGAGACAGTACTGGAGAAAAAAGAGAGATAGTCCCTTTGACTTCGTTGGCCCAGCAGCTAGAATACTGGCAGTAACTGAAGGAACTCTGTCATGCAGGAAAGGGCCAGCGTTGACATCTCAGAAGAGATGCGGCTGGTTTGATTTTTCCATACAGATTCCTCCACTTGAGCCTTCTACACAGTCTCTACCTTTAGAGCATAACTTACATCGTTGGAATTTGGCGGACAGTTTATTGATGATTCTACAGAAGGGACCTCGGTATCTGTCCTGATGGTGTTGGGGTCAATCAATATCGCCTAGAAAACAGAAAGTATTAGGTTCATCTCTCAGATTCCTGTCAGTTAAAGAAGGACAGCATCCCTGGATCAGAAGCCACATTGCACCCCCCAAAAAGGCAGCCAGCTGCTACTCTCAAGTCCCCCAAGGATCTCCTCCTTCACCACAAAAAGAAACAAACAAAAGCACTGTTTGCCTTAAACAACAAGATGTTCCTTTGCAGCTGGAAAGCACACGCCTTTCTATTTCATTTACAAGGTGTTAAGCACTAACCCCCTTAATGGGGTGGGAAGCTGCACACGTCTCCGTTTTGAAGGAACTGCCACTATTCTTAAAGGGTAAATGATGACTGATTCATTTCATTATTGTTGCTATTTGTTTTGCAGCAAGGCAGTACTTGTGATCTTGTGTAAAGCATAAAAATAAACAGGGGTCACATGAAGCCCACGGACCTGTGTCACACATCCCTGCTCTGAGGGACTGATTCAACTCCCACTGATATCAGAACATGCTTGAATGGATCAGGTCTTAAATACTAGTTATTGCTTCAATGCTTCTTTAACCCCATCTGAACAAAGCCAATTTTCCTCTCATCTGAAATGTCCCTTACCTAGATTATCTACCCAGCGTAGCTGTGCCATCTTCCCCACCACAGTTTTTTTCCACTTCTCTGTGTATTTCATTTAACCTGACAATTTACAAGTAAAGGCAACCACTTCACTCTAATTCCCAAACACCGATGCTGCTAGAATCCTGGTGAGAATTATGGAGTCACCTCATTGGAGTCAGAGCGGGTTGCCCGGCACCAGAAATAGGCAGTGGCAGATGCGATGCAAAATTCCACGATGGTGAATGTCAACAACACAATGGCAATCCTATTGCCGGTCTTTCACCCCGTAAGAGAAAACATACACAGTGTTACAAGGTAAACAACAACTGGAAACTAATCACTTTATCTTCTACATTCACTGAAGGTGCTTGTGGTTGTGGTGATTATAATGATTTGTGTATGCTGAATGAATACAGTAAGAAGACATTTCAAATTCTAAAGTAAATGTCACTTCAGCTTGAGGTTTCATTGTCTGGAGTTGGCAGTACTATAATGTAAGGGAAAACATTCAGATTTGGTACAAATCAACTTTAATTTAGTGGTAGCTTGACTATTTAGCTGCTAAAAGATAACAAACTGGTGGTAAGGCCACAATCCTGTGCATGCCTACTGCACAGCAAGGATGGATGCTGTGGGACTCATTGGTGAACAGAAGGCTACATGTATCCTTATTCCAAATCAATTTTCCTAACAGAACACCTTTGATTTTTATGCAAGCAATTTGAAGATATGTGGATGTGTTTTTCTGTGTAACATGTGAAGGCAGGGGAGACAAGAGGTAGACTGGATGTTGTTTCCTGGTATTCTCTGGCTTCTGTCTCAGCTGGAACCTTTCAAACATAGGTAGTAATAATAAGCAGCATCACAATGCCAACCATTTTAAGTTCCCTCTCAACTAGGGTTCAAAGTCCAGATGTTGATATGTAAGCAAATTCTAGTATAGGAAGAACCTTGGTCACTAGCATTTACCAGGGTTCACACCTAGGCAACACCTAGCCATAATCAATGTAGGCAGAGGATGATCAGGGGATTTATGCTGGAGCATTAGAGGCTTGGACATGCCAGGAACATTCTCTCCATCACTAGCAGCTCTTAGGACAGCTCCCACCAGAGTGGCTTTCACACTATAGCATCATTCTAAAAGTGGGGCAAACTTCATAGTGCCAAAAAAATAAAAAGAAAAAAAGAAAAAAAGAAAAAAAAAAGATAATGGTGGCAGAGAGTTTTGGTAGACAAGACACTGATTCTCTACCTAGAAGCAGTGTACTTTTATGGGCAGAGAGTTTTGGTAGACAAGACACTGGTTCTCTACCTAGAAGCACTACCTAGAGGCTAATGCTATTTATTCTAATTCCAGGTTGCCTCTCTGCATCTCTGGTAAACGAACTTGCTTTTGCTTCCTAATTGATCAGTCATGACAGAACACAGTTGTGTCTGCATGCCTGCTGTCTCTGCCAGGTGGTACTGAAAGACTTGCATGCCTGAAAGAATAGCATCGTAACAGGAGGAAATACTCATTTGCTTTAACATATGATGTGACCCAGAGCCACTCAGAAGTTTTTTCTTGGCAACTGTTCTATCAACAGCTTGAAACCTGTCTACCAGTTGGAATCTACACACAGTCACCAGGTGGCTTGATTATATCAAACATGGCGAGCATGCATGACTGACAACCCAACATTTCCCTCCCATCTTGCTGCTTCCTAACCTCCTTGTCATTATCAACACGAGTGCTAATATGTGGAAACTTACCATGACTAGGGAGTACTGATGACTGTCATCAGAATGAAATGGCCCATTTATGCTCAGGTCTACTATAAAGGCCAGTATTCCAAGTAATGCAAAGATGGCACTGATGATATTCATGGCTTGGGAGCCTTTCACCTGAAAAACAGAAGCACTGAATGCAGGTTACTGCTGAAAGGAGTAAGAGGAATTATACTGAATAGTAATTAGATTGACACAGCTAGATGGGGATGATGGGAGGTTGTACTCCAACCTATCTAGAAGAGGGAACCAGGGGAAGCTTGAGGAAGGATGACTCAAAGTGTCAGCAAATCTCTGTTCTAGGTCAGTAGATTTGCCTTATGTCACATGACAAGCAAGAGTCATGGATGCTGTATCAGAGAGGAGGGCTGTCAGAGACAGAAGCTGGACAGAGATGGACACCAGCTCTTGAGATAACTGAATGAGGTACGACAGAGACATGGTTCCCTGTTGTGCCCACTCTCCTTCCTTCTCTTGCACTGTTATCTCTGCTCAGGTATGACACGTTTTTGACACTCTCCTCACACCAGCAAATTCTGAATAGAAACAACAATGATGAACACGCCAGTCAACATGCTGGGCAATCATGTCTTCACTGTGCTTCTGTCTACTCTGAGGATGCTGTTGTCTTCTCTCCAGCATCTGTTATTCCAATATATTGAACCAACTATTTCTTCAGTGGAAGACCCTACTGGCTATGGCTTCACTAAAAGTCCCTGAGGTATCACCACCCTTACTATTCTCTTTCTTGCTGTTATATTATATTTACACCCCATGTTTCTTGCAAAGTGCTCAGGATGGCGTTCATTGCACTCCTCCTGTCTTTTATCCTCATTAGTACTCTGTATGACAAGTTTTACTAAGGAACAGTGGCTGGCTGGCGAGCTCCACAATTCAATGAGAGTTTGAAGCTGTTTGTCCGCAGCTCCAGACTTTGCCTGACAGCGCTCAGTTCACCACATTGGACTGAAATTGATTTGGTGCCAGATCTGCAAAGCTTTAGCTGGTAATTCCAGGTACCATGATGTACACAGAGAAAACTATTCTTAAACACAAAAGAAAAGAAGATCAAGCTGACTTACTGCACACTCCGTAGGGCTCTTCTCAGCACCGATGGAGAGGCATCCAGAAACAATGAACTGTTTAGGAAGAAAGATACAAGGACATCAATAGAAGTTCACATTATTGATAAGCTCCATTCCCACCTACCTCAAAGGCTACAGTAGAAATGCAGAAGAAGACTGCAACCTTCATTGCTGGTGTTTTTAAAAAGGATGGTTTGATCAAGAAAGCCCCCTTGTCACATGCTATGAGGTGTCTTCAGGGGGTTAGACTTTCCACATATTAAGAGGCCTCTATTGATTGGCATTATTCAAGTTTTTCTGTCTCCATTGTTAATATACTGGTCTTTCCCTTCCATCCTCTGTTTTGGGCCTCAAAGTTAAGTCTGTTCCTGCACTTCCTCTTTGTAGGAAGTTGTTAGGAGGCACTTCCCCAAAGAGGGAGATGCAAGATGAATGAAAGCTGATGCCTTCACCCAGCACTAACATTCAGAAACCATCCTGATTGCCAACTCAGGTGACTGGTCTCAGCCATGCGATAGATTCTCTCCCATCAAGAGGAGTGTACTTTTAGGGTTGAGACAAAATAAGTTATCAAATTTCATATTTGGTTGGAATATTTGAAGAAAAACATTCCACTCATTTTCAGCAATGTTCAACATGAGAACATATATGCATTGTTTCAATATCATCCTGTTCTGTGTCATTAGCTTCCTTCTTCATTGTCCTTGCCCCCTACCCACCCAGTGTCATTTGCCCATACACCTGGTTAATCCAATTAGTTGTAGTGAACCACACAGCTTTGTCAATGGTGTCATGAAAGGAGCATCTGAGGTCATGATGTCATTGAAACTTCCAAGCATGAACAGAGATTATAAACAATAAATCAGGTGAAATGGCAGTGCAGCAAAGATGAAGGCACTCAGGCAAATAGTATTGAATCCTTTTCATTACTAGATTACATTACCATTTTAAATCTATAACTTGGCTGTACCAATTTCAAGATGAAAATCTGTCACAATTCCAGTCAGGTGAATTAAAGGACATCTCTTTAGAATGTGGTTTTGCAGACATAGTTTAAGAGTGCTTTCACCCGTGAGGCTTAAACAACCTTTGAACCCTTTCCTTGCCACTTTTTATAAACACATTGTCCTTGTTAATTGTCCAGCATCGTCACCGTCAGGCAAAATGTCTCACAATGTTCATGTGAAGCAACTATATTTATCTTTAAAAAGAGTTACAATGTACTTGTTTGCTATGGACAGAAGTTTATGTGTGAATGCTCAGGCATTCAAAGCAAAAATAACATTCTTTGTTTTTCATTTCTCATTAGAGATTAAAAGGAGAAATGTTAGGTTTTCAGTCTGCCGAGTGACACACTGTTGATAATCCAGGAATAATATGAACCAGTTCCTTAAACTGGCAATCCTTTCAGCTATGGCTTCTTTGATAGCAAGATGCTGGCTATATACTAGCTGAGGTTCCTGTGTTTCAATGTGCCAAGTTATTTAATTAGGTACCATTAACTGACTTATAGAAAACCTAATAGGACTTCCAAGGCAAGTGAGATATTTAAGGAGTGGTTTTACGAGTTCCACTCTGCCAGTAAGTTTCTATGACCAAGTGGGGATTCAAATCCTAGTCTCCAGAGTCTTAGGTACAGAGGGTGTACTTGCCCAAGTCACTTGATTAGAACAATCAAGCCTGACCATTCACAGGGAAATTAGGGATGGTTAGGAACTCTCTAAAAGAAACATCATAGTTGACCTTTCTTAGATTTCAACCATTCCAGCAGGGGGCTACAGAGCACAATAAACTCCCATGCAGCTGACCTCTGTTTATCAATGTTCCATTAAGTCTATCGGTCCCTTACACTAAGAGGGATTTCACACACACACAAAGTTGATTTGTTGGAGGATCCTGGTTGAAAGGATGATTCAGCGATGGTTGGGGTAGTCAGGTAGTTCTGGATAGACTGTGAGGAAGAACTGTGGGAGAGTCAAGAATGAGCCTCAGAAGTTCAGGCCCTGAAAATCTGAGTAGTTAGGAGACCATGCCTTCTCCCTTTGGAAAGAAATCACACCCAGAGTTCTTATTCTAAGAACATAGGAAAGCTGGTGTTTATTGAATAAATGCATTGGGACAGAAAAGGTGATCTAAATTCAAGTTCTACCTAACTAAGGTAGAAATGAAGAGAGTCATGTTTGCCCTCTCAACAATGAAAATGAAGGCAAGACATCTCCTCCATCCTCTTTCAAGGTATGTTAAGAAAGAAAATGTGAGAAGGAAAGGAAGCAACACAACAACCCAAAGAATGTCACTCTAGGTCAGAGGTCTCCAAACTATGGCCTGTGGGTCACATCCAGCCCACTGTGCCTTTTTATCTAGCCTGGGCATAGTAAGAGGAGGAAAGGGGGACTCAAGCAATCCTCCACCCCTGCTGTGTTTGCAAAGACAGCAGGGGGTGGGGGATCGCTTGGGTCCCCCTTCCCTCCTTTGGCCATTGAAAATGTGTGAAATATATGATATGACCCTCACACTCAAAATTTGGAGACCCCTGGTCTAGGTTAAAGTGAGGTCAGCACAGGCAGCATAGAAAAAGGGCAACTTAGGAAGCCCGGGGAGGCTCTTCCTTCTCTGTCTGCATCTCCCTGGGCAAAGATGTGCATCTTTATTAACGTCAGCAGAGTTATAGCCAGTCTATGCCCATAGCTAACAGTCACTTTGAGTTTAGAACCCCCCCTGTTGTTAATGGTGAGAAAGCAGAAGACAGGTATTGGTGATGTTAATGTGTATTCTCCCCAGCTTCAATACTGTATTCCCATCACAAAGTGTTTCTAATGGATGGTCTTAAATATTGTTATATGCTTAACTGTTTGTAAGTATTCTATCTTTTGGTTGTTTTTAATGGTGATTATTGTGGTTTTGGTTGACTATGAGCTGCTTTGAGTCTCTAATGGGGACAAAGGTGGCATATAAATAAATAAACAAACAAACAAACAAACAAATAAATAACCACATACTAATTTAAGAAAGAAATGCTTTAAGCCTCATCCTTAAAAATGTAATACAGTACAATCCTGAGGAATATCAATAGGAAATGAATGGAAATTAAGCTTAAACGGCAAGATCAAACCATGATTAGACTACTAAATAGTCAAAAACAGATGGGAAAAAGAACATGTACAAACACTGACAGTGAGAGAAAGATGAGAGGAAGATATTGATAAAGCTGCTCAGAGAATTCAATCAATCACAGACTGATAAAAGGAATGAACATGGACAGTACACCACACCACCCTACCCAATATATCCCCAAACAGCATTTATTATGTGCAGTTTTCCAAAAGTGAGATGAGAGTTCATCAGTGTTTTTCAGATGATGTGCTATAAGAAACTGTATGAAGGCTTAGCAATACCCAGGGTTTCATGATATGCTCCTGTTTAGTGTTAGGTTCCTTAAAAAAAAAAAACCAGCAACAAACTGTGCATGGATGAGATAAATAAAATAAAATAAAATAAAATAAATGAGATCCATTAAAGCAGCAGAGGCTTTGCCACAAATGGTTGTGCAGAGCTTTTGTGCTGTTACAGCAGAGGTCAGCCGCCCAGAGTGGTATAACACACCAGATGGGCATAAATAGGTAGATAAATAGGTAGATAAATAAATAAATAAATAAATAAATAAATAAATAAATAAATAAATAAATAAATAAATAAATAAATAAATAAATAAATAAATAAAGTGCAGCCATGTAGCTCCAAAAAGTGTTCATGCACTCCTCAGCCATCCGCAATGCTTCCCCACTCCCAGCAAAAGAAGTCAATCTCCAGTCTTAGAAGCTATGGGTCATATTAACATCTAATTAAGCTCTTGGAGTGGTAGATTTATTTGGAGAATGAAAACCAGATCTCTTCTTCTTCACCACTTTCTGCAGTATATATTCTGGAATCTGAATATATTCTGGAATCTATAGGTTAGAGCAGATCACCATTTTCATGTTCAAAAACAACTTGTCAAGTCTGGACAAACTGCAAGAGACGTAGGCAGGCTTGAACAAAACTGCAGGCAGAAGGGGAAGAATGGTGGGAAGGAATTGCACTGATCCAAGGATGAGGCTGCTTTGCTCTGCATAGCAATGATGGAGAGCTCCAAGGGACAGGCCCAGAACTGAAGTTCTGCTTGCGCAAAAGTGGGATCTATCATCAGTATGGGGTAGAACCATCATTAAAGGTGCCTTCCAAGGGCCCCCCCAAACCTGCACCCTCTGGGGCACATTTTTCAGCACCCAAAAGGGTTACACAAAGAACATGGAGAGACTGAAGCCAGGTCTTTGGCTGGCACTATCATCGCAATCATCACCAGTAAGACATATGGCATGCTTGCGTGGAGTCAATGCAACAATGGCTGAAGCAAATGGCAGCCCAGCACAGACCCTGATGAGCCTGTGGGGGTTGCTGCCAGCATGCAGACTGGTGCTGGCACTGGCTAATTCCATGCATACCTTCCCTTTCTTCAATGAGCATTCTTCAACGCTCAGCAAAAAGAAGTCTTCGCCAGACCCCAGAACTCTTCCCTTCTTAAGTAACCACAGAGTACTAGTAGATAGAGGGAAGGTAGGATACACCTTTTTACTGAGATACAACCAAAACCATCTGCCTGTGAAGCTTCCAAGGTGTGACTGAGGCACCGAGCTCTGCACCACTGCAGTAGTTTTTAAGAAAAGGCAACTTTAAGGCTAGAATCTGGCTCTCTGCAGTGCCTCTCTATAGACGGCCAGCAGCTGCGAGTGTGATCTCAAGAGACGTGATGGACTCAAGCACCCTCTGGGTTGTATGTGTTAACTGCTATTTTTAGCAAACCTGTACCCATTCATACTGTGAAATGCTTGTTATTATTCCACAAAATTTCAGAGTTCAAATTTTAACCAAAGGCAGCCATATCTACACAGTTTGCTCTGCCATTAATTAGTGATACAGAGCTCAGAAAAGTTACTTTTCAAACTATATGAAGTTCCCCTCCTCGTAGTTGCCCCCAAGTTATCACAATAGCTGTTGGCTAGGATCTTCTGGCAGTT